GGGCCGCCAGGGGGTCCAGCGGGACCTGGGCCTCCGCCAGGATGTCCAGGACCTGGTGGTGGAAGTGGAGCATGTCCATGACCACCGCTTCCGCTCCCACCTTGACCAGGTGGTCCGCCTTGCCCACCACCTCCCCCGGGAGGAGGAGGAGGGGGCGGTCCAGCTTGAGCGCGTTCATGCCGAATATTGCAGCGCGCACATCGCTCAAGGCCGTCATTTCCAAAGTAACTGTGATTCTCACAGACGTGAGTCCCACAATCCGTGCAGAAATACATGGAGACCTCCTGAGCATTCTTGCGACATGCCCAGCATTTCATTTTCAAGAACTGACAATTGCAACAGTCCCCGTCGTCACCCCGGCAAAGCCTGCAAAACTCACGATTGCACGTAACACACGAGAATTCAGCGCTTGGGTGCCTACGGTCGTTGGGATCATCGAGGGCACAAATCTTTGGCGCATCTGGGCCACCGGTACCGGGAGCTCCTCTTGCGGCCGGTGCCGAGGCCTGTCCACGATCAGATGGAGCTCCAGGGGTCCTCCACCTATCGCCGGGACTCTGGATGTCGGCACTAGCTCTACTCCCAGGAGTCCTCCAGTCATCGCCGGGACTCTGAATGTCGGCATGGGCCCTAATACCCCTACCACCTCCTGGATGACGGTCTGGGTTCGGAGAGACGTTCCCGCTATCGCGGATCGGCCTATCCAGGTTCGGAGAGATGCTCCCGCTATCGCGGATTGGCCTCTCCCCCCTTGATTGCCGACTTCGGACCTCAGATCCCCTATCGGGGACGGCAGCAGGCCTCGGGCTCCTATTCCTACCCACATCCCTATTGGGAGAAACAGAAATGTCCCCCCTTGCGCGCGCGCGGGGGCCATCCCTCGCACGCCCTGGCGGTGAATGCGACCTGTCAGGCAATCCCCGAGCCCTCCTGCTTCTGCTGTCATCCCTCTCCCTATCGGGATAAATGGGATGCCTGTCTGCACGAGAAGGATCGACCCTACCGGGCACATCTGGCAAAGCGTGATCGACCAAATCGACACCTCCGCCCGGTCTCACCGGAAGGCCAGTACCCCGGCCATTACCTTCTCCGGGAGTGGGCGTCGGAGACCTGATTCTGTGTCCTTGCCCCGCGAAGGCGTCGTATCCGACGTTCCGTCTCTCTCTAGGCTGTGGGGGATTCGCCTGATTGTCCTGGGCACCTTGAATAATGACAGCAGCTTCATCAACATGACCTTCGATTTCATAGAGCTGAGCCATGATCCTGTTGTTCATTCCATTAAGAGTACGCATGTTACTCTCAACAGTGCTGATCCTCCGCATAGCGCCCTCAAGCGTACCCCTGAATGAGTCAATCTCACGCCTAACGGCAGACCGTGCTTGATCACTATTTGCAGGGAGACTGCGGATCTGTCTTCTGATGTCATCAAGAACTTGATTCAGAATTCCCGAACTCGCCTCGTACTGCTCAACACGGGATTTCAAGGTTTCAAACCTTGCAAGGACATCGTCATGGTCCCCATGGTGGCGTTGAGCTCCACGGGATAGATCCTGGATCTTTCGATTGACTTCGTCAATTGCTTCATGCCAGTCCTGCGGGGATACGGGCCCTGATGATCTATCGATCGCCTGTGAACCCCTTCCACTTTGCAGCCTCGACATCCGATTAGCGAGAAGGGTTTGCTCTTCATTGATGCCACCAATAGATTCGGAGGCCCACTTAGCAAACTTCTCGTGTTCGAGGAGAGCCTTCTCGAGCTTCAGGTTTAACTCCCTGAAATTCGCGTTCACCACACTGCTACTGGCCCTATCGGACGGTTGCGCGACAGGATTCAAATTCCATTCACCTGCCGGCGTCCGCATCCCGACGGTCTTCTCTACCGAGAACATCCGTTTCTCGAGCTTTTCCAAGTCCTTAAGGATCTCATCCTCGGAAGCAGCATGGCTCCTGTGGACGGCCTCACGATTCTCTTGAATCACCTGACGAAGCCGATCAGTCGCGGCCTCATTGTCCTTAACAGATTCGTGAACCTCGTGGGAAAGTAGATTAATCCTCTGCTCCACGACTTCACCCTGTTCATCGATGGCTTGCCTCACAATGGCTTTGCTGTCGGGAATAACTTCCCTTGCAAACCGCTGAACTATCATTCGCATCCTCCCGGCATCAGATTGAGTCGCAACCTCAGCTGCCAGGCGATCGATCTTGTCCTTCGTCTGTTGGCTCTCGTCGCTCCATTCCCTTCGCATGGAACTCACTTGACCATTCAGTAACCTGATTTGGTCAGCAAAAATATGGAACGCCTTCGCGACTGAGCCAGAAACCTCACCCCTCTCGAGCAGCTCCTGGATGTGCAAATCAAACACCTCCTTTGCCCTAGCGTCACCTGATTCGCCGGAAGACTGGGATCTGAGGGCGGGAGGAGTCGATATCTCGATCCTCTCAGGAGCCCCACTAGCCCCGGCATGTCTTCTGGGGTCATCTACGGGACAATTATCGTCTACTCGGGGTAGATCCCCTTCTCCGGCTATCGCCAGATCGGGGATCAATGTTGGACGCACGAGACTCGGGAGTAGAGTGAATGTGAACATCAGCAGGATCAGGCATCTCCTCATCCTGCGGAGTTGAATCCATTGGTGAGGGGCTAGCCCTCCTCGCCTTTGACCTATCGGTCTCAATGGCCAGGGGTGACGGTCTCTTCGCAGAAGCACTACGTTCCCTGGCGGTCGAGCCCCACTGAGGTGTGAATCGACGGATGATCCTCGATTCCGAGTGCATCGGCAAGCCGGCCATCTCTTGCACCTTTCCCAACGACATCGGCAACCCGCTCAGTGATCCTCGGCGAACCAGTAACCCGGTTCGAGTTCACGTCTCTCTGATCCAACGGACCTCCAAAAGTAATGTTGGGAAAAGGGGGAACATTCGGGGTATTACCAATCGCCGGGGGACCTACCGGTCCCTCACGGTCATGGATAGCCTCCAATCCCCGAAGAACTTCCCGACTGTCCCTGGCTCTCTCTCTCTCGCTTCGGGCGTCCCTGTCAACACGAAGGTCCCTGGCGGCTCCACGAGAGAGGCTCCTGGGCCTCGCAGCATCACGGATCCTAGCATTTCGTCGTGATTGGTCCTCCTCCTCATCACGTCGATCCGCAAATGCGGCATACTCGTCATCATCACCGACCTCAAACTTGGCGCAGGGCTAGTCCTTGCAGCCGCACGGTTGCCTGCATTTCGGCGCGAATGGCCCTCCTCCTCATCCGCAAAATTGTAATTCATCATAAGACTCAGATTTGGCAGTAATAGGGTTGGGCCTACCGGCATCAGATCCCTGCTTTGAGCTACTGCCCCATCCTGCGGTCGATTTCAACAGATCATCGTATCCGAAGTCTGAGAACTTCCGCTCCTCGTGCTCATCAAACTGACCTGGATTCTGAGAACCAGTGGATCGGCCCGGGATACCTCCCGGAGCCAGAACCATAGTCCCTGGTCCCTGCGGCCTATTCTCATCCGAGACCTGCGACTCACCTGGAACAAGAGATCTCGGAGGTCGAACTGGCATGGCCTCCGGGTCATCCGAATGAGGGCGGGCCATGTCCATCGCCATGCTGATGAAGTCAAAATGTCCACGCCTGTGACCTGATTCAGAGCCACTCCTATCGGAGTAAACCCTTCGTGTCTGCTCGTCATCAGTGGCCTGGCGGAAAATACGATCGTCTCCATCGTCGGCGTACCTGCCACGGCCCCTGGGTGTATCCCTACCGGGATCTTCACCCCTGCGGTCCTGACCTGTCGAACCTGCTTCGAAATCCTCGTAGTCATAGTCCGGTAGGTCCTCACCTGAGCGGAGGCCACCTAGGATGGCCTCCTCATCCACGACGCTCCTTCGAGATCGTGGGGTCGACATAGAGCTTGTAGTTGATGGTCTCAAGCGCGTAGGAAAGTCCTACGGCTGATAACCTGTGATTCGGGCACGAGCCTGTGCCCAGGCAATGGGTAAGTTGGGGTAAACAAGCCACAAAAGAAAGGTTCCCCAAAAGCAAACCAATCCCCGGTCCCAAAGATCAGGGTTTCCCACACACCAGAGAACAACAACCAAAGGAAAACAAACCAAACAAGAAAAGGGTTAACCCGCAACCTTGGTCGACAACAGGCCGCACGACTGGTCCCTACCAACCTGGCGGCGGCCCGAGGTCTCTTTCTCCCCCGAGATGCCGTCGGTCGACGCAGGGGTTCGGCGACGCCCATTCGAGGCGCGACGGAACCCAAAACTTGAGCCAAAACACCACAGGTCGGTCACTAACGCGACGTCCCTGATGATGATATGAACCATGGCTAATCACACTGGATGTGTCTTTAGGGGTGGGGGAAATGGTAGGGGGCTGGGGCCAACGATCGGGCAAACGATAGCACTTCAAGAGCTGCCAATTTGCAGGGCCCGAAGAACCTTTGCTGGGTTACGGAGGTTTTAGCCTTGCTTTGTTTCCATATACCAAGGTGCCGTATTGGGTACCATCTTTTGAGCCACAGCCACATATCTCTCCGCAGAATTGTCACCGCCACTGGGAAATTTACCCCAAAAACCAGCAACAGTGACTGAAAAAAACCGCGAACTGGGAGTTCGGCTGAGCCATCCAATGAACCCTTTGGCGGTTTGGATTGGTTTGAGGATTTGAAGCCCTGGTTCTTGTTGAGGGTAACTGGGTTCCTCGTCCGGTCCCGGCCTAAGTGGCTAAGGGAACACGCATCCTGCTAGCTGGGCTGCTCAACAAACGCTTTGGGTTGGCCAATCCGATTTCCCAAAGGCGGCCAAATCCTGGCGTAGCCCAAGGCAAACATCTTGCAGATTGCCTTTCTCCCACTAACCTAGCATTTGTGGGAGGGTATCCAGAAGATCAGTTTCCTTTTAAAGCTACCCCCTGTCAGGTGCCGTGTTCGTGGGAGTAAGGATGCCTTTGAACAGCCCAGCCTGTCGCGCTGAACCGAAGATCCCATGCCAAAGGCGCCACTCCGAACGTGGCCGCGACAGCGGCTGTGCGGGCATGGCTTCCATTGCCGACCCTACGCGCTGGACATGGGTGTGTGTGTGTGTCTTTTGAGGGCGGTTTTCTTTTGGTGCTTTTTTAAGCTGCAAAAAAAAACATGGGGTACCCGGTGCCCTCAAAAAAAAAGAAACAACTCCAAATAGTGTCTTCTAGGTGTGCGTTTCTGTGCGTTCTTGGTGCTTTCAAGCAGCACAAAACGCACATGGGGTACCCAGTACACTCAAAAACACACACACACACACACACACACACACACACACA